CTCAGAGCTCACACTCTTGAGCGAGCTCTTAACCAACTGAGCCACTTAGCTGGCCCTAAATATATTGTTTTAACATTTGATTATTTCAAATATGTGAGGTACAGAACATTTGTTATAAAATAACCAGCTAATTTGCATTATAAACCTACTGAGTGTATACAAATCATTAATTTTTTACTATAAGTTCCTAAAGACACAGGCCTCTGTGATAAATGATTTTTGACAGCTTGAAATTAATGTTTTCTAGAGTTAGCATACCCTAGAGTCAATTTCTATCTCTGTTGCTTGATCTTTCCTTCATTTCCTCATCTATAATCTGTTTCTCTAACTAGGTCATAACTACTTAGTAATCATGATAAAAGCTTTATTATCTTTTAAATAATCATTACTATCATTTTAATCTAACATACAGAATGACATGAACATAGTTTGTCACATTCAGTATTTCTATAAATATGGAAAGTGCTGAGCACAGAAAACTACTACAAGCACAATCAGTTTTTAAAAAGTTCTTTTTTAATTTTAAATAAAACAAAAAGCCTAGATTCAAAGAGTAAATTTTACATTGAGTTTAGGAAATTTGATTCTACAGAAACAAAACAAGAGTGTTATAGTACTTCTTTGCGGCCCTTCACTTTTAATATTATTGAAATACTTGTTGGAAATTACTCAGCTGTGCTTCTGTTCCTGCACATGAAATGTAAGGATAGCTCTACCTGTCTAGGTTTTCTTCTTAGGAAGATTTAAGAGAAAAGCATTCAAATTTTTAAGGAAGATAGTTGCTATATTATTTAAATGTTTTTGTTATTTTTATTTTCACAATTATCGCAGCTAAACTAGCAAATAACAAAATAACTGAGTGTAATTTTGAATAGATGGAGTTCACATGAAAAGTGGGACTCTTTGCCCTACACACTTTGTGGAGGTATATGTGCCAATAGGAAGAACTATTCAACCACAATTTTCTCATGATCAATAAAGTGCTTGTGTGCTATATTCATTTAGAGCATGCATATTTGAAGTTTTCTTCAATTCATCTGATACGTTTATTTTTAAAAAAATAAGCTTGAATTTTTAAAGACTTAACGAATGATCGAAATTTGAATTTTCTGAACCTGGAAAGGTAGTTGTAAGCATTCTCTCACAGAGAAGTCATCAATATATTCGTGAAGTGCTATAAAAATCATGGCTGACAAGGACAGCAAAGCTCCCAAGGTGGAACAACAAATGAGAGAACAGTTTGAATCTTTTTTTCAATCTGAGTAGTTTATGGGTTAAGGTCGAAAGTCTCTTTCTGAATAGCTTTGCTTGATACCCTTTGCTGTTAAAGCTAGACAGAAAACACAAGACTGTATAATCATTAAAGATTACGAAATAAAAAATAATGCTCAGTGTCAAAAATGCAAGTTCATAGTCAACAGGCCGTTTCACTGAAAATAGTTGTTTCATCACTTTGGCTTCTGGGAGAAATGCTTGGCCCGTTGTGGACAGTAATGAAAATATGAGACAGCAGAAAGCCTATCTCAGAACAGTGCTGTCTAAAAGGTTTGCTAGCATCCTTTATGCAATAAATAATGGAGATGCTGGAAAACTGCCTTTAAAAACAGAAGTTTTGGCTAAAATTAAAGACTAGCCAGTGCATTTGAGAAATAAAGTGGTATGCAAACTAGGAGATGTTCAAGTCAAGTTTCTTTTGTAAAGGCCCACAAGGAAGCATGTAATGAAATGTCATTTAAACAAATTATGCTCAGTAAACATTTGCATTGCATTTCTCAGTCAAGATGGAGGTAGGGAGATGAGTATGGGGAGAGGGATTTACCACCAGGCTAAAAGCAGCTCTAAAACTGTATTGCTAACTGTGTGATCAAAAGAGAAGCATAGAGAACAGAGAACAAATACATCTCTTGCATGTTTGGTTGAGTTTTCCTGTCCCACGTGGTTTTTAGAAGAGCCCTCTTGGATATTGTCAACCAAATTTTTACATTCACTAGATACGAAATTTAAAATTATATTTCAAGAGCAGGAAGGAGTCATTTCTGATCATGCAAAAAAAAAATGGAGGAGAGATTTTGGATTGACGTTTTTGGATTCTCTGTAGCATAGAAATGAAGCCATTTTTAAAGTGCTCTGCACAAAAGTTTTTATTCAGACAGTGTTTTATGAAGAGGAGTTAGGAAAGGGTATAGAGAATTCACAACAGAGAGCTAAGGTCAAGGTGAGCTTCCACGTGTTGAAGAGTCAGGGCCAGCTCCTTTACATCAGGACCAGGCAGGCAGCGTTGGTAGACTTGGCAAACAAGGAGAATTAGGTAATCTCTGGAAGGGCAAATGATTAGCAAATCAGATGCTGTTTCTTGGTCAGAAAAAAAAGGAGTATCTCAACAAAGGAAATGCCAGTTAAAATATTTTACTCTGCAAAATCTGCAACCTCTTGAAAGGGGAAAATTTCAAATCATGAAGTAACCCAAATTAATGAATAGTTGCCTACCTAGAGGCACAAATTTTGTTTGCATTAGAATTGTAATGCTAAAACTATTTTTTTTCACCTCAATTAATCTTCAGATTTTTGCCAACTGGGTCTTTGATATATATTATATTTACTAAATAAAATATCGTATGAAAAGTGATTGCATCTTAATGCTTTATATGAGGGTCAGGGATAAAATTCTTCAAATAAATTAATGCAAAGAACAGGGCAAAATATATATTTTTAAACTAAGTAACAGCTATAAAAATACTTTCTCTTCTTCCACCACCCCTGTTGAAAAGCAGTAATCTTTATTTAACTTAGGGAGACAATGTTAGGGAATAATGTTAAAATACTGGCATATTATATCATTGTATTCAGTACTTAAGAAGATTTTTGAAGGGGAAAACATGTTTATGTCAGTGTCCTAAATTGAAGCCTGTCTATCAGCCTACACAATGACCCCAACGATCCCTGACTCCTGGTGGTCATTCACTTGTGTAGTCTCTCCCACACTGAATGGGGCTGACCTGTGAAACCTATAGGATATTTTGGGAATGACACTGTATGACTTCCAAGGCTACATCATAAAAGACATTGTGGTTTTCACCTTGTTCTCTCTTGGATGCTTGCTCTGGAGAAAGTCAGCTGACATAGTGTGACAACACTTAAGAGATTCTATAGGGAGGCCCTCACAGCAGGGAACTGAGGCCTCCTACCAATATCCATGTGAGTGATCCATCTTGGAAGTGGATCTTTCAGCCCCAGTCAAATCTTCATAGGACTGTAGCCCCAGTCAATAGCTTGATTGCAGTCTCGTGAGACTTGGAGGAAAGCTTTTCCTACAGGCCCGACCCACCCAAACTGCTGAGATAACATGTGTTTATTGTTGTAAATCACTAAGGGTGGGGTCATTTGTTACTTCAGCAATAGGTTACAAATTATTTTTCCCCCAACAATACTTATAGCAAAACAAATGAACACACCCATTTTAAACCATTTACAAAGTTGATAGGTTCTGTACTTACTAGTTCTTAATGGAACCTTATCTCAAGGAATTTGCCATTAAGTTCCTTGTTTCTCTGAGTGTTGCACCAAGACCAGCAGTGTTGGCATCATCTTGTAGCTTGTTAGGAATACAGAATTTCAAATTCTACCCAAGACCTACTGAATCAGAATCTGCATTTTATGAGCTGCCCGACTACAAGTAAGTACTTCCAAGTTTGAGAAGAGTGGCTAATCTGACTCCGAATGTCACAGCCTATGGGTGGAAACCCTACCTATCCATGAGGAGCACTTTCAAAAAATAATGTTGGAGAAACCTATCCCCAGAAATTCTGATTTAATTGGTTTTGGTTGAGGTCTCTTTTGGCAGTGGACATAATTATACTTCAGATTTCCCCCCTTTGAAAAATGACGTTGAAGTCTCCGATTAGCTCTGACTTCCCAGCAGGCTCCAGTCTTGGTTCTAGAAGTCAGGTGTGCCCAGGTATAACTGAGACTACCCTGGGGGAACTGGGGTGCCCTGATCGGGAATCCTCCGAGGCATTGTCATGCCAGGGGCTGCAATTTCAGAGCTGCTTAAGAGCTACTGCGTATTTTTCCTCTTTCTTTTATGTTCTTCCAGGAGTAAGTTTGCAAGAAAAGCATTATGCTTTCCCACCCTACAGGTCAGTTTGAATGTGCTGTCTAGGGCAATTCGGAGAACCAGGTGCTGTATAACTCAAGGTTTCAGGGTAGCTTACTTACCTATCAGATTAGGACTAAACATTTTTTAGTTTCATTGTTTCTGGATGGCAAAATGGAAGTACCTAATGGCTCTTACAAGCCTTTGGAAAATATATTTTTTGCTATTGACCAGACACTACTAACAAGATTTCTAGTATGATGGACGCTTAGTAATGTTCAACCTATTACCTAATAAGTAGCTCAAATTGATAACATTCAATACCGCTTGAATATAAGGGGTGGGGGAGGATTGTGGAGAGATTATCCATTTCCTTAACTAATGCATCCCCAGTGACAGAGACCATGCGTGGCACATGGGATGCTCTGAATAATATTTATAGGATAAGTAAATCCCTCAAAAACCAATAACTCCTGATCATTCAAAGTTACTGGACGTGTTATGGAATCTGCAATGGAAAACTGTGGAGGCTGTTTACCAAAGGATTTCTAAATAAAGCTCCAAATCTGATTTTAAATATTAAAATTGGTGCCCAAAGTCAATGTCATGTTTCAAATGTCTGTCCTAGTTTGGCTTCGATTCCTCATTTGGAAGCTGGCTGAGGGATGTGATCCCTGCCCTTGAATCTCCTTCCTTTGTGGGTTTTTTTTTTTTTTTCCTGGTTGCGCGTCTACGTTTCCCAGGCGGGGGAGCGCGTGCGGCGGCTGCGCCTATTAGCGCGCCGCGCGGGTCTGTAGCTGTCAGGCGGCCGGGCTGCTTAGGACCCAGGGGGAGCCGCTCCTCTCGCGCCGCAGCTCCTTCGCGCGTCCGCGCGGACCGGCCCAGCCCCCTCCTCCTCCTCGCTCAGCTCCCTGCCGACGCTCCCTGGTTTTGGCATCCCTTGGGGGCAAGAAGCCCCCTCCAGCCCTGGCAGCGGGCCGGGCCCGCGTCGTAGAGGAACCCGGGCGCGGATGCGCTCTGGCGGGCTGGGCCGGTCGGCCGCGTGGGAGGCGGGCTGCATTATTTCCCGCTAGGGCCGGACTCGGCAGCGGGAGGGAGCCCCGCACGGCGCCCCTCGGGCAGGGCCTGCGGGCGAGCGCGGCGGCGGCGCCGCAGCGGGGCCTGGAGCCGGGCGCGTGGGCGGGCCGGGCTGTGCGCGCCGCCCCCACGGGCCCGCGACGCCGCTCCCACGCTCCCAGCCCCTCCCCCCTTCCTTCCTTCCTTCCCCGCTGCGCTCCCGGGAGCCGCCGGCGGACGCGAGCCGCGCTGGGCGGGCGAGCTTTGTGTGCGCCCGCGGGCCCGGGGCGAGCCTCGGGCGGCCCAGCTTGGCGGCTCCCGGCCGGCTCCCGAGCGGGAGCTGTGAGGCGTGGCTGGGCGAAGGAGGCGTGGGGCCCCCCGGCGGGCGGGAGGGACCGAGCCGGCGGGGCTGGACAATGAGCCCGGTAGCTCCACGCTGCGGTCACTTTTAGGGGGGGGCGCGGGCCGGCCGGTGCATCCGCAGCTCAGCGGCCCCACCTGCGAGGAGAGGGCGGGACGCCAGAACCAGGTGTCCCAGCGCCTTAAGGCCCCGCGCAATCTGGCATCCCTGAGCTGGTTCTCGCATTGACACGAGGCTACCTGCAAGCTTTAGCTAGGACTTCTTTTTTTTTTTTTTTTTCCGGGGAGCCCTTGGAGCAGCCGCGATGGCCAGTACCAGGAGTATTGAACTGGAGCACTTTGAGGAACGGGACAAAAGACCGCGACCCGGGTCGCGGAGAGGGGCGCCCAGCTCCTCCGGGGGCAGTAGCAGCTCGGGCCCCAAGGGCAACGGGCTCATCCCCAGCCCGGCGCACAGTGCCCACTGCAGCTTCTACCGCACGCGGACCCTGCAGGCCCTGAGCTCGGAAAAAAAGGCCAAGAAGGCGCGCTTCTACCGGAATGGGGACCGCTACTTCAAGGGCCTGCTGTTTGCCATCTCCAGCGACCGCTTCCGGTCCTTCGATGCCCTGCTCATGGAGCTCACCCGCTCCCTGTCGGACAACGTGAACCTGCCTCAGGGTGTCCGCACCATCTACACCATCGACGGCAGCAGGAAGGTCACCAGCCTGGATGAGCTGCTGGAAGGTAGGAGGGGAGGGCCCGGCGCGGCAGGTGCGGCCCAGCAGGTGCAGCGGCCGCGGGCCCGCGCTCACCTGCCTGCCCCGCACTGGGGGAAGCCTGCAGGGTGTCTTCTAGGCGGCCACGGGGAATTGGATGGTTCTCTGCTTTTTCCTAAACGCTGTGTGGAGCGCGCTCCCACCTATATGCTGATTGTCCTTCCCAAGAGATTTGCCTTAAAAAAAAATAACAAAGAGAGGAAAATCCTAATTGCTTTGGTGACATCTCTTAAAATTGACGAACTTGTTTTTTGTTTTGTTTTGCTTTTGAAGTGCAAACTATTTGAGAAAGCGCTCTCTGGTGAAGATCTAGGTAGCCCTTTAGTTAAGAAGCTATCTGTTCCGCCTTCTCTGTGGACCCCAGTGCAGGCACCTGTAGTGTTCCAGCGTCTGGGGCCCTATTGTATCTGCTTTATTCAGAAGCTGTGGTGGTGAAACGCTCTAGGTTGGCTTCCCTGGTTTGGCTTGCAGCAGAAGTTACATGAGGTCAGGAGGGGTGATCCTAGGCAATGGTTCTCAACCTTGGCTGCATCTTAAGTCACTGGGGACTTTAAAAAATATGGGTGCCTGCTCCCCCCGCCATGTTAATGTAATTGGATGTAATTGGTTTGGGGGTGTGGCCTGGGCCATCCTGAGTTTTAAAAGCTCCCCAGGTGATTGCAATGTGTAGCCAAGGATGAAAACCACTGTGCTAAAGGGTTTTCCGCATTTGGTTGGTATTAAGGTGAATCAAGGCCAATCTCTTGCCTCCTCTCCCACCGAATTTAGCTAGTTAGGATGATAGAGGCCACTGGAGTCAGCTGTTGGTGCTTATTATACATTAGTAATCCTAGAGTGTCAACCATCATTCACTCAAAGGGACTCATTGGCTGTATGTTGTGTTATCCTTGCATTCCTGCAATATTTACTCTTCTTTAAGGGACAAAAAAAGGATTACTAAGTACAGGCATACCTAGGAGATATTGTGCGTTTGGTTCCAGACCACCACAATAAAGACAGTATCACAATAAAGCAAGTCGTAATCTTTTTGCTGGCAGAGGGTCTTGTAAAAACAAACAAACAAAACGGATGGGGGGGGGCAACATTTGCAAAGTGCAGTAAAGCAAAGTGCCAGTAAAACACGTTATGCCTGTAGTTAAGAACCTGTTTCCAGATCTAAACAGCACCTGTTAAGATCAGACAGAACCCAAGCATTTGCTAACTGCATGTTTCCATGCAGTCTGCTCTCCTGCATCTTTCTTAATACAAATGGCACATCCCATGCAAGTCATAGTGATATTGGCTTGGCAGGGAAAGGAAACTGAACTTGGATCCAAGTGTTTTTCTTACATTATTCCATCATATTCTTGTATTATGTTCTGAAGGCAACATGCCCATTTTACATATGCGCAAACTTAAGCAACATGCGTTGCCCCACAGTACCTGCAGTATGTGCTCTTTTGCCTACAATTCACTTTTAATAAATTGATGTAGCCACACTGCTGAGTCCTGGAGGTGGTTGAGTTTCTCTAGTTAGTCACTGTTACCAGAAGTTTTTCTTGCCCTGTCTTAGATGAGGACCCAGCCCAAATTAAGTTGTCTCTTCAGTCTATGTGTGTGATCACATATTCACTTGGTTGGTTGTGGGTTTTGGTTTTAAGGCTTCCTGAGGAGGTGATGACAACCATAGCAGTGTAAGTAAAATAAAGATACATTGTTAAAAGGGCTGTGTGGCTTTTCTTTATGGTGTTACATACTTAAGAGCAACAATTGCTAGATATTTCAAAATAGAGAAACACAAATAACACATTTTCTGACTGATCCAACCCTGCATTAGCAGCTCTGTGAAGGGATCTAGGCAATACCTATTGATTAAGCACTCATCACTACCATGCCCTTGGGATACTGTGCCTGGTGTGGTCTGAGGAGGGACAACAATTTTAATACCTTCCTCTGAAGTAATTTTAATAGTGTATTTGCTGCATGACATTAATGTACTCCAAAGGGTAATATCATCATTGGGGAGATGGTCAAATAACCATTATTCACAATAATAAGAACACATATTGTACATTTTTTGGTCATTGCTCAGGCTGTGCATGGTCCACTGAGTTTGATTCTCAAACTGTAGCTTCAACTCTGAATAGAAGATTGACATTTTCTAATCATTCATTTACTGATTTTTGGACCACAAGAAACCATAAGTCTATGTAGAATTCAAATTACACCCCCATATGATAAATAATGATATGACATATATACTTGGACAACAGAAACGTTTGTCTAGTCTCGCCAATGCCCACTTGTTTCAAGCAGTATTCACTTACTGCAAAAGACGAAAATGTGGCTATTTCTTTTGTCATAGTGGCATTCTCTCTGACAATGGATCTTTGTCTAAGTCTTGAATTTTCCAGAAAATGAGTGCACTGCCCTGTTGCAAGAGAGTTTTTTAAAAAGAACCATTAATGCTTAATATCAGTCATTTGAGAATTTAAATAGTTTAAACTTTTAATTAAAATTGTGTGCTCGACTGTTCAGATTTATCATGCAGGAGAACTTACCAACTATCTTATGAAGATTTTGTTTGCATCAGTAAAAATTTGTGTGTAGTATTGCCCATGTTGAAAAAATTGACTGCTTTCTTTCATCTTAGTTTACCTTTTTAAATTAAGATTCGCTGGTAATATTTTTTACACCATAATGTTTGACTCTTTTCTGCTTCTTTCATCCCATGAACTTTGTGGTTTAGGAGATGTTGTTTTAGTGAAGAATAGAGAGTGATGAGTAAGACTGCCAGTGTGAGCACTCTTTCAGAACCCCAATCCCACTGAACTCAGATGACAAAAGAAATTTGCATGGCCCAGATTTTTTTTCCCCCCTGCTCTTGACCTTGAGAGTCTCTGGCAACTACAGTGTTCAGGTGTTGGCTGGCACTGCCCCTGCCTTTCAGTAACCAGCAGGCATCTCCAGCCTATTGGCTTACCTCCCTTGCTGGATTAATTTCACCGAGTTGGTGCTGTGTATCTCTGTAGCCCTGTTTATTTAAAACTGGATGGGGACCTTCTCTCAGAGGAGGACTGTTAGTCATAGTTGTCAATATTGAGAAAATCAGGCTGAGCTGTCTGAAGCCATGAGCCAGCCAAATTTGTAGCATCTCTGAGAGATAACTGAGGATGTCCAGGTGACTCATTCTTACGTTCTCATGTTCAGGGCTAAGAGTCAGAACTCCTTGTCTTAGCTTTGTTCCATGAGTGTTCTCCCCTTCCGCACATTTTGGCTGTATTGGTCAATGTTTGATGTCCTATGGAGAGATGCCCAAGGATAGTAGAAACAATGCCTGACAAAGTCAGGACCCCTGGGTTCTCCTGACTGTGGGTTTGAGAAAACTTACCTCAGTTCTCTGGCCTTCTGTGTCCTTTTCTGTTGAATGAGAAGTTGGCAGATCCCCTCTCTAAGGTAAATCCCTTCTCATCTGAAATTGCATGCCCTCCCCCTACCTACGTGGCTATCTACTGAGTGTATGATGTCCTGGGCTGCCTTTCCCCACCCAGAACCCATCTTCCAGAAAATGGACAAGGCTGCAGCTGTCCTCCAACCAAGCAAGGAGTGGGTGTGTGGCTTCGATGAAGTGTTTGCTGGGAGCCAAAATAATTATGAATAGCTACCATGCTCTGCCTCTCGCATCCCAAAATATTGTTTTGTGTTATTTCTTCCTGTTATTCTTCAGTCAACATAAATATGCTGATTGAATTTTTTGGCATGTGAGAGAATGTCTATGATTTTGATAAGTGATACTTCCATTCTTTCATTAAGTTAACTTGAAGATTGGCATGAATTAACTTGAATTTAAAAAAAAATGAGGTTCTGAAGAAAGCAAGACTTCAAGTTTCTGACGTTCTCTTACTAAACCTACTTTATTGAATCTGGTTAAGTCAATGTCTTTGAAGGCGTTAAACCATGATGTAGTTACTGAGAGAGTTTTTTCCTTCAATAAAAACAAGTCTTCCAAAGAACCCATATTATAGGGGTTTTTGTTCTCCCCTTGAAAGATAGGTTTTTATAGTAATAATAGAAACTGAGCTCTTGGAACTTGTATGGGCTAGGTTTCTTTCCTCATTGAGTTATAAGATATTTGCACATAGAAGTCAAAAGCGGTACACGTTAAAGGCATCTATGATGATTGGACATGGCAGTTTAACAGGGAATCTTAGGCCTTCAAAGCTTTCTCTACTTGGCACACTTCTAGGTTCTTCTTGAAGAATCTGCTTCAAATATCACCTCGGTATGAGGTCTCTTTCCAGACCTCAGGGATAATGGTCTCAAATACTTGTTGCTTGAGAGTATCTTTGTTATTCCAGGTGCTGGGGGTACAATTTTTCCCCTCAAGATGCCCTCATTCTAGAGGGAGAGAGATAGCAAACATGTACACACACACACACACACACACACACACGCGCGCGCGCGCGCGCGCGCACGCATGTGTCTCAGCTGAAGGGCTTCATTGGCCAGGATGATGAAAACATCTTCCCAGAGGAACAGATATTAGAGCCAAGGCCTGAGGTCAAGCTTATAACTCTTCCCTCTACTTCCAGCATTTTTCTTGACCTCTATTCTAACACTTTCCTTTGTCATTAGTGCTGTATTGGGTCTGTCTTTTGCGCTAGACTAAGAGCATTGTGAGGTCAGGGATCTTGGACACACAATAAATTCATTGAATAAATAGTCCAGAACATGATTTTACTTCTAAATATAAAATAAAATTTACTTATAAGTAAGTAATACATTTTACTTCTAAATAAATAGCCCCAAAATGATTTTATTTCCCTTAGCTGTCAAGGAGTTTTGTATGAATTAAGTTTGAATACAGTTGTTCCTGTGTATTTGTGAAAATAGGTATTTTGAAAAATTGAATTATATTTCAGATAAATCAAAGGTGCTGTGCTCAGTCATCATTGTGGAGAGAATGACTCTTTCATAATACCTGCTTCT